GAAGAAATGATTGAAAAATAGAGAATATATAATCTTATATTTTCTCCTGTTCACTTCACTTCATTTCTCGCGAAAGTAATGCACTGCAGATTTCAGCATCTTTTCATGGTCATCTCGCTTACTGGTAAAACCGCCTTAGTCACTTTCTATTCACGATGCAGGGCAGGTGCACTGTGTTCGCACGCGATATCTACACGTGGAAAATCCCACACGCGCACACATATACATGCACGCATACGCGAATGCACCCCCCACCCCCGTGTCACACACACGCTGTTATACAAAACATGAAAAAATAAAAAACTCACCTGAGGTGCGAATGAGCAACGCATTGATGCCCTCTGGTGGAGGAGCACCTGGAACCTCTTCCGGTGTTCTCTCAGTACTCTCCTGCTGGGGTCTCGCGCTCACGGCCCACAGCATCGCTAGGAGCAGCAACCCTGTCCTTAGCTCCATGGTGTTCGAGTATACGCTGCAGGGAGAATTCGTTCTGGGCTGGAGTGAGAGTGATACTTGTGGACGACGGGTTTTAATGTGTTTGTGTGTGTGTGTGTGTGTGTGTGTGTGTGTGTGTGTGTGTGTGTGTGTGTGTGTGTGTGTGTGTGTGTGTGTGTGTGTGTGTGTGTGTGTGTGTGTGTCTATTCGTGTGTTTGTTTTTATTTGTGTATGTGTTTTTTTTTGTGTTTGTGTGCTTATGTCCGTGAGTATGGATGTGTCTTTGTGTTTGTGTTTGACAGACTTACCGGCTACAAGACACCGAATCGTGTGATGCCGGAAAGGTACGCACACACGTTTTTATACCTGGGTTCGTGTGTATGTGTGTTTTTTAGTCCCGCCCAGCCTGTGCTACCCACAAGAGCCCGCTTTCAAAGGACCGCCCAGAACAGGTAGAAGACCCCCCCCCCCCTCCTCTACCCCCACAAATAGCTCCGCCTTACTTCTAATGCGTCTATTTCGTTTTAACGTGTTCTATTCCCTCACACCGTCTTCACTTTCCATCCATGTGTAATGTGTATTCGTATTACACCTTAGATGACACATATACCAGACACGTTTCTCATAACACAAGCAAACACTGGCATTATATCCAAAGAGGCGGAATATCTACATATAAGTATCGTATTCGAACCCCATCCTCCTAGATTGGTTCTACTTGACTCCTTTTCCTCATTACCGTATACCGCATACCCAGCGTGTATTGTAAAACCAGTAATAAGACGTGCTCACTGCGTCTACTTGTCCTGTGTTCGCGAGACCTCGCCTGATTTGCACAGTACTTAACTCACACTCAACTAATTGTTGTACTGAAAGCAACACCTGTCTTTCTCGGTCCCACGTACTATAACTACTATTACCACATAATACCTTATTCATTACGTATGGGATTTATTTAGCTTCGTGTTTACATTTGCCACATGTTTTGTCAGCTTCACGAATCCTGCCACTTTGCCCTTCGACAAGGACAATAGAGTAAAAGATGAGGAAATACCAGTAATTACATAAGTTTTACCCTTGACTACCTCGAGGCTAAGTCAAGCACGCAGAGGTACCATTAAACTTGAGCGTATCTTCAATGGAAACTTTTATAACCAGATTCTTGGACAGCTCCTTCCGAGAATTTGTAATAATTCATATTCCTGATCAAAGAATGATTAAAAAGGAAATATACGAACAACAAATATATGATCATCCCGAGAAAGAAACTTTTTTTCTTTTTTTTTGGGGGGGATACCTATTCAGAAAAAAATCCGTGAAAGGCAGGCTAGTTGCAGGAAGAAAAGCAGTGAGGTACATACATACATACATACATACATACATACATACATACATACATACAGACATACATACGAACATACGGCGCTAGTGAATTCGTTACTACATAAAGCGACATTTTTCCGGATGCTTAAGGTTTTTTAGAACGAGGAAATTCGGAATATAAGGTATTCAGTGTACAATATAACCTCACATTGTTGCCCATATTTTGCATTAGCACTCAATACGCTTAAATGTGATACTGAGCGTGAATCCTTTATTTCCTCGCTTCCACCAACAGTATATATTCGATTTGATAAGGATGAATAATAAAAATAATCTAAAAAAATGAAAATAAAATAGTAATTAAGATAATATGGTGATATTTTATTATAATAAAGATAATGATAAAAAAAACACGAAATACATAAAATACAACATTTATTTAGTGACACAGGAAGTACAAAATTCGGAACCGGGACATGAAATAACAAGCTTCGTGGTTCTGGGAACAGTTGCATGATGTATTGCAAATGTTGCCAAGCCAAGGACATAGCTAATCTCTAACAGCACATGAGTCTCTGTTGCCAAATCAAATAACCTCTGTAAGTATTTTATTCAGGTTTACATAGATACATGGTATGACCCTGCTTACTATCGTTAATTATGTTAATGATAATAATAGGGACAATGATCATGATAACGATGATAGTGATAATAACATAATAGTGATAATGAAGATAATAACAATGACAATAGTAATAATGATAATGATAAGGACGATGATAATGATAATGATGAAAAAATAACAATGGTAATAACCATAACAACAGCAATAATAAGAGCAACAACAACAGCAATGATAATAATCATAATGAAAAAATGTTGATAACAATGATAATAATTGTAACGGCAGTATTGCAAGATAATAATAACAGTACTGATAATCATTATTGTTCTTAATACTAATATTGTTGCTGACATTACTTTTATAAGTATCAGCTCTCTTTATGATAATTTACAAAATCGCCTGACGTATGAGTTAAATTCCTAAGGCACAATATTCCACTACACCTGGCTTTCACTTAACATTTATCTGCAGTAATTTGATAATGATCTCTAAAAAGACTGCGCGGCAACCGAATCGGTTATTCTAAACTTTCTTCTTCGTTACTTTTCCTATCAACACGATTATCTTTATTGTGATCACGGATTCCTTTCCAGAGAGGCAGTCACCTCTTATCAAATTGATTAAGCTTATAATATAAATTTTGTAGCTATAATGAATACTTAGTGTTACAGAGGGAACTACCACATCGAGTCTCAATAAGGCATTGACCCTACAGACTTAATCTTCAGGTCACCTAAACTTTCCTAAAGTGTCGCCAAGCCATGAGACATATCATAGGTATTCAGGTCCCATATGATGATTGTTTTTTTAATTGATATTTACAAATTTTTATTTTCAAGTTGGGTATGAAATACAATCATCTTTAGTTAGGAAGGTCGTGGTATGTGACATGACGTTATTTTAATAAGGGATATCTGGTTACAATCTAATCGTTTTTTTAAATAGAAAACTTAAAAACTTAACTTAAAAAAGAGGGATATTTTTTTTGTTCTATACACAATACGTATCCCTTAGTGTTATAGCCCTCGTCCAGTTATTAATGTAAACAAAAAATATATATAAAAAATAGAAAATAAAAACTGGAACGGTGGCCGAGGCTAGCGGTCCATCACTGAGGACAAGCGGTTAGGGTGTCCTGCAGGTGGATACGAAAGTTCTACACTAGGTTAAGAAATAGATAGATCGATAGATAGAGATAGAGACGGATAGAGAGAGAGAATAGATGGATAGATAGATCATCGAGAGAGAGAGAGAGAGAGAGAGAGATAGATATATATATATATAGAGAGAGAGAGAGAGATGGATAGATAGATAGAGAGAGAGAGAGAGAGAGACAGAGACAGAGACAAAGTTTAAACGTAAACCAAACAGAGACCATCATTTCTCCATTTCATTAACAGCCACGACAAAACTGGCAAACAAAAACTAATACCGTGAAACCTGTCCCTGTTGCCAACCGAAAAGGTAAATGCTACCAAATGCCTGGAAGCAAGTGGACAGTGACGAACGCTCGTTGTCACGCACATGATGGGGATGTGAACGGAAGAGACACGATTATCTCGCTCAAATTGTGGTCAACTTTTGTTAGTTTTATCGACGAAGTGACTTTATCTTTGCCTGTAATCTTCTGTATTGGCGAGAGAGTGAGAGTGAGAGAGAGAGAGAGAGAGAGAGAGAGAGAGAGAGAGAGAGAGAGAGAGAGAGATGGAGAGAGAGAGAAAGAGAATTAGTAGATTGATGATGATAAATGATAATGATGATAATTATAATGATAATGATAAAGATAATGGTAATGATGATGATGATAAAGCAGAAGAAAGAGAAAGAAAGACAGAGAAGGTGGGGGTAAAGGAGAGAGAGGATGCGGAAAGAACGAGGGAGCAAGGGAAAGAGTGAGACAGAGAGAAAGTGGGAAAAAGAGGAGGGAGAGAAATGAAGGAAGGGAGGATGAATATGGAAGAAAGAAAGCGAGAGAGCGTCTCCCTGAGTATGTGTTCATACACATATTTAAGGGAATGAGAAGAGAGAGGGCGTTGGTAAGGCAAATACAAAAAAATATATACGTATCATATATATATATATATATATATATATATATATATATATATATATGTATATATATATATATATATATATATATATATATATATATACATATATATATATGTGTGTGTGTGTGTGTGTGTGTGTGTGTGTGTGTGTGTGTGTGTGTGTGTGTGTGTGTGTGTGTGTGTATGAATGTGTATACATACATGCATATATATATATATATATATATATATATATATATATATATATATATATATATATGTATATATATATATATATATATATGCATATATATATATATATATATATATATATATATATATATATATATATGTGTATATATATATATATATATATATATATATATGTATATATATATATATATATATATATATATATATATATATATATATATATATATATATGTATATGTATATATATATATATATATATATATATATATATATATATATATATATATAAATATATTTAGTCGAGACAGTATTAATCACATATCAAACGACGGAACGCAAAACTAATGCAATGGGAGAACCTAACCAATCCCTCA